AATCCAACGGTACATGCCCCAGCCGGCCTCCCCCTACGCCAACCCCACCCACCTACCCACCTACCCAACTGTATGGAAGACTAATCCTGTTTTGAAAATCATGAATCGGATCACGTGGCTTGAAAGAGAAGGAAAAAGAAGTATTTTTTTTTTTTAAATCAACCCAGTTTTAACCTGCACTGTTGATGTGGCCGAAACTAGGTCGATTTTTGTAAATAAATTTAAAATGTGTTGATTTTGGAGAATAAAATTGTAAATGAGTCTATTTTGAAAATTTCTCCTAATATTTTAATTGTTCACGTTGATTTTGGAGAATAAAATTGTAAATGAGTCTATTTTGAAAATTTCTCCTAATATTTTAATTGTTCACTAGCCCAGTATCATCAGGGGCCGACATCTAGTCTATTTTGAAAATTTCTCCTAATATTTTAATTGTTCACTAGCCCAGTATCATCAGGGGCCGACATCTAATCGTTTATCAATCATAATCTCCATTAGACTCGGTTAAATTATATGTCCATGCGTGTCCAATGGTTTCACATGTTAAGACAACTATCAAACTATATACCCTAAAGTTTTTGGCAGCATTTACATACCTTAAAGTTTTTAAAACTTGCAGATATCCTCACTTGTTGTCGATCGCTTTATATACCCTAAAGTTTAAAAACACTTGCACTTAAATACCCTAAAATTTACTTAAATACCCTTAGTTATGCAAACTTTAGGATATTTAAGTGCACGTTTTAAAAACCTTAAGGGTTTTAAGTGACATTTTCAAAAACTTTAGGGTATTAAAGTGAAAGTTTTATAAACTTTATGGTATATAAGTGCTGCCAAAAATAAATGAGGGTGTAAGGGTGTACATGTGCAAGTTCTAATATCTTTAGGATATAACAAGTGCAAAGTAGGGGAAACTATAGGGTAATTAAGCACGTTTAAGCTAAACAAATACTAAATTGCTAATGAAGTTTTCTTTTAGTAAAGATCTCTATTGAAGTTATTTAAATGGTTTGCTTTTGAAAGGGTTAGTCATACTATTTGTTTGAGATACCACGATTATATTAAATCATATCTTAAGAAAGTGAAGAGCTCCCTTATGTTTATATTGCATGAGCTAATATATCATATCATACTTCCTTTAAAAGCACAAGTTTAGGAAATCTTTCAATGGTCAATATTACTCTTTATTATTTTGAATATTTCATATATATCTTAATCTATCCTAATCATAATTACATCCTATCCTAATCCTACGTGAACTATCTATAGATTAACAATTTAAAAAATAATATTAATAAAATATATAAAACATCTTTATGGTATTAGTTTGTTAAGATAAAAATAAAATATATAAAACATCTTTATGGTATTAGTTTGTTAAGATAAAGAAATTATACGTAGCTAACATACTATAATACTATTAGTTTGTTAAGATAAAGAAATTATACGTAGCTAACATACTATAATACATAAAGTATTGCAAAAAATCCTAAAAAGTTAAAATTACGCAAAATATCCTGAAAAATTTAAAATTATAAAAACCATCATGATGTCTCAAAACTTAAAATTATAAAAACACCCTCAAAAGTTCATAAATAAGCATCCTGAAATTCTAAAATTTCAAAACTTATAAACAACATAGATGAATTCAATGGAATATCATGATGCACCCAAAAAATTCTAACATTTCAAAACTTAAAACAACAAACATGAAATTAAGAAATTAACAGTAGCCTCTAAAGAATTTTAAAATTTCAATTAACACCTCAATATCTCAAAAATAATAGAAACACCCTCAAAAGTTTAAATTATAAAAAATTATCCTAAAATTCTAAAATTTGCAGACAACAAAAGAAAATTCAAGATATTACCCTGAGACATCTAAAAATTTAAAATTTACTGAAATTAACCTCAAAGTTACAAAAAAATATAAAAAACTCCTTCAAAATTTAAAAATTATAAAAAAAACTCTAAATTTTCAAAATTTATAACAAGTACACATCAAATCTAGAAACTATTGGTAGACCGCTGAAATTTAATTTTTTCCAAAATTAATATATAGTTTTAATAATTGCAAAAAGCACCCTCAAAGTTTTAAAGTTGTATGAAATATCCTGACATTTAAAAAAATTACCACCAACACATGAAACATAGAAGTTACAACTACTAAACTTAAAATAATATTTTTAAAAAAACTCTCCCAAAGTTTTAAAAACTACAAATCACACCCTCAAAATTCAAAACTATAAAAAGGGCTGAAATTTTAAAAATTAGCAAAGAAAAGTATAATTGTTTGGTATTTTTTCATTAAGATGTGTGTGTATGTGTATTTGTAATTTCTAATTTAGGGTTTACTATTCTTTTTCAACATCTAAAAATAGTATAAGTTAATATTAGTAAACTAAAGCAATAAGACTTGATTAAAAACATCCGACTAAGGAATAAAATTTTAAAAAATATTATAGCTTAAAATTATCACTACTATATAAATTAAAGTGACTACATATAATTTTACTAATAGGTTGGAGCATCAAAAATACATTAGTAACATTAATTGATAAATGTTTAAATCCATAAAAATAATATAATACTATAGTATAATAGCTTAGCATTAATTAATTATAATTTAGAAATATTAATTTTTGATTTTAATAATATTTATAGGGTAAAAGAATACAAGGAATTACATATAGAGGAACTATCAGAATGTTCAGAGATACCCTTCAAAAGAATTAAGTTATTTCCATTGCAAATGAGAAATAACGAAAATAAATTTAAAATTCAAAAAATATCCATAAATCACTTGAATTAGCATTAACATAAAGCATATCTATTAAAGAAGCACTGACTGAGTTGCGTTAAAAAATAATTTAACAACTTTATCTCAATCAAAGAAGAATTCTCCATAGAAGATATAAAAAAATTAGTAAGTATTCATAAATTTCATACTTTGTTCTTCAAATACTAAAAAAATTAAATATTAGTATTACAATTTAAGGCAAATTAGTAATGAAAAATGCAAGTATTTAGTTTAGATCTTTGTGAAAAATGAGAGGAATAGAGCAAAGGTAATATTATTGACATAATAGAAACTCTTTTTGGATGCATATCAGAAGAATTCATTGTAGAAAAATAAGGTAGCTTCTAATCTTATTTAAGTAATAAATTAGGAATACAAAGAATTTTATATATATGAAATTAACATTTATTCTCATTAAAATAAAAAAAATCAAAGTCTATATTTTAAGTAGTTTGTGTTGAACATCAGAAATACATTTGACTTCTTTATAAAGTTAAACAAGAAGATAAAAAATTAATGAGCCCAAAAAAGATAACAACATAAACATATAATTCCAACTTGATATCACAATCGATGTAGATGATGAAGACACGAGAATTGTCCGGGAAAAAGAAAAAGATGAAGAATAATTGATCTTAGCTCAATAAAAAATAAAACAGAAGGAATAAAAGACAATATTTTCTAAATATATTATAGAACAGAAGGAATAAAAGACAATATTTTCTAAATATATTATAGAATAGTTTAATTATTTTGAGTGAAATTAGGAATCTTTAGAATATATTATAGAATAGTTTAATTATTTTGAGTGAAATTAGGAATCTTTAGAATGGAGTTTCATGAATTTTTTTAGTATTTTTATATACTTATGTGGATGCTTTTATTATATAAAAGTATAATAGAGTTAGTATTAATCTTTAATTTATAATTTTTTATGAAGTCTATCAATGATTAGGAACAAACTTCATATTTTCTTATATATCGTTGTAGCATACTTTTAGTCAATCATTTTATCTTATTAGTTTTAAATATTCACCTAACATTATTTTAATATTTTCACTTTTGCAACGTTATACTTTCTCAAGTAAAACTTGGTTTCATATCGGTCAAAATAATATGAAAATTCAAATTAGCTTCAAATTATATTTGTTTTTTGTCAATTCGATCAAAGATCAACATGAAAATTTAAATTGGGTGTAGCCCATGTAAACAAATATAAAAAAAATCGTGATATAAAAGTTTAGAGACAAAAGTGAGCACAAACTATTAAAGTAAAACTGAGAAACAAATTTTACTTATAAAGTAAGCTAAAAATAGTTAATCATGGTATTAAGGCACTGTTTAGCAACAAGAGATTGTGTCTTATCTAAGAGATTGTGTCTTATTGACTTGGTCAATAAGCTAGTAGAGCTGTTTGGTGACAAAAAATAGGAGGAGATTATTTTGGAGATTGTGTATTTTGCAAGTAGCTTTTGGAAAGCTACTCAAATAGCGTTTGTCTTTGGGAAGGAACTGCTAATTTTTTTTCTTTCGTTTTTGCCCCTTATAATTCTAATTTTATATCAATAATATTGCATGTCCTTTTTAGTCGTTTAACAAATTTAAGCTAGTTGTACAGCTACTTTTGTCAAACAGCTCTAGTCAATCAGCTAGCTACATAGCTATCAGTTTTCAGCTACAATTTTACAGCTTTCAACTAGCTTAACAGCTTTCAGCTATACTCTCGCAGCTTTCAGCTAGTTTTGCCAAACAGAGCCTAAACCACGTGCATTGTACGTGTATAAAATATTGTATTCATAAATAATTGGATTATTGAAAACAAAAGGTAAGTGGTCAATCCAATCTGAATAACCTCCATTAATCAAAATGCTTTCAGATGGAAACAAACAAGATTCAGCTAAACAAAAATATCTGAAAATATATGCAAACTACCAAAATGCTTTCAGATGGAAACAAACAAGATTCAGCTAAACAAAAATATCTGAAAATATATGCAAACTACATATTTTCAGTTGAATATATTACTTCCATGCTCTCTGACGGTTATTCCTCCAAAGGACTTGTTCGTTTACTCATTGACTTGTTCATTTACTCATTTAGCCTAATCGCTTTTCCTCTTCAAATATACATCCACCAACTACTCGTAATTTGCACAAACACCATTGAAATTAAGTAAAGATGGATTCATTAGCCCCCATGATAAAATTTAGCACAAGTTTTCACCACTTTATTCTAATTGATGCCTTAATGCTGGATATCAAAGAAATACATACAAATATGACCATTTATTTCATTACAATTTACGCACTGAAGAACAAATTAGGAAATGGACCCAAAAATTCAGGATAAAACAGTAGTTCTTCTTGTGATGACTTGAGTCCCAAGTTACATACGAATTAGTTCTCAGTTAGCTCCAATAGGAATAAGTGACATTTTCCCCCCATAAATCTCTGGAAGTTGGCTTTCATCAATTTCTTCCAATAGCGCTTCTTCAAGGTTCTCGTCATCAACAAACACAAACTGTAGCAAGAATGGAACAAATTAAGTTTTTGAACTGTATCACGTAAGGAAATAGTGACACTATGAAATTAAATAGTAAGTTTAGGAGATTACCCTGTTCTTCGTCTTCTTATCGATGAATGGGTATATAATCTTCCACACTTTCATGAAAAGATAAGGTACATGGACTAGAAACGCCTTGTGGAGCCTCTCAGGATAGTAACTCTGCCATGATTATATCAAGAATTACAAAATCAATATTCATTGAGTTTGCCTATATTTTATTCATGGAAATTCTAGTGCATGTTAAAGAATTCTTACTCTAGGACGTCAAATGTGCAGGGTTGTCACTAATTAAGATAAAATATAGTGTACAAAAATGAAAACGAAGAACGCAACAAATATTTTGAATGAATGGAACATGACAATTTGTACCAATCAAAATATTTTAATTCAACTGAGAGAAAATTGCTTACCACCTCCTAAAAGTCGCGAACTATGTTTATTTGGACCAAAATACCCCAAAGCTTACATCATTTATGAATTATGACTCCGATACCCCAAAGTTTTTCTTTTCAGGGA